CCTATGTTTGGTGTCCCTGCAACATCTGGCCTGCTTTGAAAAGTATGTGGAGAACCTGTTGCAAGGCTCTGAGACAACAGAACAGAGATAACAGAAATGGCCTTTTTCAGCCATAGGAATTAACCTGCCAGTTCTGACGTGTGAATTCACAGACAAGGCAATCCCTACAGCTGCTCCGAAGGGGATTCAGATGGGGACTTAAGAAACACAAAGTGATCACTGAAGAGGAAACAAAGAAGTCTGAGGAGAATCTGGGGCAAGACAGGGCATAATCCTGTCTGGTGAGCTGTTGGCAGAAATGTGAGCTTTGCATAGGGCATTCTGTTTTATGGAATACCAGCCTAAAAATGAGGAAAGATAGGCAATAAGCATGCCTCCATGGACATATTAGAGTAAGGCATTATCTGGGTTCAAGTGAAAGGAAATACATGTGTCTGACCATACATGTAGATTATCATGCAAGTATTAAAAAAAAAAATATTTTAAAGAGAAGCTCATCCCATTACAAGGGAAAGTTTGTTGTTTCCCCCCCAGATTATGCATGCATTTACATACATTCAAAAGTAAAAAGTGAGGAGAATCAATAGGTCATACATCTTTATAACCTGGATGCCAATATCAATGATGCTGGTTCAGTTGGAGGCTGTAGCTATGGCCTGCAGTAGTCACAGCCATCAGATGTGCCAGAGTTCCTGATCCTCTGAGAATGTTCAAACCCAGTTCTTGAATAATGAGCCGCACTGATCCTACAGAGGATCACAAATGTACTCTTCAGATGTTATCTAGAGGGCAAAAACCCAATTTTTGAATGATGCAGTGAGATATAATCCTTGTGGACCCTGTAAAGTGAGCTCAACCATTTTTACCTGAATCCTAGAGTCTTTGATGAATGATCCATGTGTGTTTGCTCTCCTGATGCAATGCTTTGTATGTTGTACAATTTTGAATATATCTCTGTGAAATGAGAGATCAGCCCAGGACAGTACTTACCATTCAAAAAACAGCATCTATCCTCAGTCTATCTGAAAGTCTCCTTTCTATACATATTTTGTCTTTACATTAAATAGAAAATTGTCTGTAATAACAGTACCTTTTTTAAAGCTGTGTTTGCCTTTTTTCTTCTCTTTGTTGTTTTTCCTTTGATATATGTGAGCTGATACCATTTAAGTCACCAGAACAGCAACTTTTAAGTTATCCAAAAGCATCTTGTAAAAGATTCCATCAGAAGAATTATCCTTGTATTTATAGCATAACCTGGATAAAATAAGCATTTAAAATAATTTGGGAGGTTGAGAACAATGCATAACACACATGTCTTAAGGCAAAGACGATCAAAGTAGCACATTTCTTTTCCATACGCAGTTAAGGGCATTATTCAGAAGGCTATCCTTAGGCACTGGACACTAGCCTTCCCAGGCTCTTTCCGTAGCCTACAGAGAAAGCAGGAACCTAACAGAAACACTGTGTCATTACCTGGAAGAGCTCCACTGACGCTAGAAGGAGCCTAAGGACACAAGCCTCCCCTACCTACAGTTACCCTTTGTGAATACCCTGTGTAATTAACGCTTGAAATATATGGTGGGCACCTGGAAGAAACTTGGCTCACCTGACACTGACCTGCAAAATTCAGCTGCATTGGCGGAAGAAGGAGCTAAGATCACAGCCGCTGCAGAACTAAATCTGTCAGAAATCATGAATGAAAGCCCTTGTTTACCTTAACTTGCTGCTTGGCATATAAGTATAAAATGAACTCACTAGCAGCCTAAGTTAATACTCATGGATGTGAACCTTAGCAGCCCAGGAGCAGACACACTGTTTGCTCAGCCCCTTCTGTTATTCTGAGGGTAACTTCCAGCGAAGAGGTGGAGTTGGTAGTTTCCTGGGCCTGTTAAATTACCCTCTTAAATCACTGCCGTATAAATTAGCAGAGCTCATGAATCAGAGCCCTTGTCATCAGTGTGTCGCTGCTTCACTGAGCTGTTCAGCCTTCCAGGATTTCATTCATGTTCATAAAGCTTTGGGGCATTCCTGGATGAAAGCAGAAGGCTCCTGTCCTTGTGCTGGGGACGCGTGGCATTCTCTGCACTCCATTTATCGCAAGTGTCTGTTCTGTTTAGAATGACACTAAAAAAATACCTGTGGTAAAAACCTCTTGTAACTTAACATATCAAGTGCCTCAATGCCTTCCTTCTTGGGGGGAAAAAAGAAAAAAAAAGAAATCAAAGCTTTCATTTCTTTTGAGAAATCTAATCCACACCATATACACTGCAGGGGAGAAAGTGTCAGGGGGGTGAGAGGGAGGGGAAAGAGTCTCCATTTTCTAGTATTTGTGAAGCCCTACTCAGCTAAAACAAGTGTAGCCTTCACACAGAAAATGGCTGTGAACACTACAGAGCAACATCTGTTTTGTGAGTGTAATCCATAAAAGGCTTCCAAATGCCCTTAAAAATTGTTCCCTCTTTTCCCCAGCCTGAATGTCATCTCACAGGAAGCCATCTGGGAGAAGCATGCCAGCTATTCTGCTGCAGCGATAGCAGTATTGTCCTCAAGTGCCTCAGGATGAGTCACATCAATGCAAAAGTCCAATTATAGTAGAAGCCCCCCAAAGCAGAAGTATAATTTCAAATAAATAAGACTGATGTAGCTGAACCACTGGAATTCAGAATGTAATTCAGTCACTTCATCACCTTTTACTCAAAAACCCTGCATCCCTTAAAGCACCCATGCTAAATCCCCAATCTGGTTATGACATTCCCAGCACAGATGTGATAGTCTTAAGCCCAGTGTGTATGCATTTAGAGGAGTCAATTACTTTTTTTTTTTCTTTTTATTTTAAAATACAGCCTTTTTAAACCTGGCATTTCTTACCACTTTAGAGTAGCGAATAAACAGTGCCATCCACTGTTTCTCTGCATAATCCACAACGTTTTCCTAGGATAGTCTCAAATAAGATTTAACATAAAAATTTATGCCGCATTTGAAACAAAGAAATATAGATTGGTAAAAAGATGCGAGTCAAAACATATTTTTAAGGAGTCAGGCTAAATCACAGAATGACAACTCTAAAACTAGATTACAACAAAGGAGATCTTTCAAAATATCTCCTCACCTGTGGATGAGCCATTCTAACTCAATTAGCTATACTGTTACTCATTTATCCTAAAGCCAAATACTTCTCCAATCAAGCAGGCCATCTGTTGCATTGTTGAGTAGAAACTCGCTCTTCATCTTGTGATAAGAATTACACTTCTTCTCCAGCGTGGTCATCAACTCTCTAGAACATGACCCTGATGAATGATACTGCTAAGAACAGGTGCCTTTAGACATGTTTACTACAGAAAAATTAATAATACGGTGTGAATGAGACACTGTTTTCATGGACTGAACATGGCCAGTGCAAGACTGTATGTCCCTGAATGTCTTTGACAATGGAATCCAAACCTTATCTTTTAGATGTATATTTTAGATGCTATTCCTATAAAAAGATTCCAAACTCATCCCACCTATGGTGTTGCACATCTCACTTTGCTAAATACCTGCACTTTTCAACAACGCCACAGTTCATTAATGCAAATACGCAAATGTGCTCAATGTTCACTGTAACAGAAATCCTAAAAGTGTTATACCCACTTCCTTCCTGTGCTTTGCTAGAACACAACCTGTGTTCAGCATTTCACTAGACTGATCTCACAAGGCTTATCGTGCATCCTTTTAAAACAAAAGCAAAACAGCCATTGACCACAATGATGAATGAATTAAACCTTAACACTTTGCCTCTCATTGCTTTACTCTATATTATTTTCTTACAGGGAATGTTTAGAATTTCAAGTAGAGATCACTTTCCAATTCAAAGTTGCATTTATTCATGACTTTTCTTTTAGTACAGATCTCTCATTGACACAAATAATGGTAGAAACATTATTTAGGAAATTGTATAACTGCTAAGTCCCAGGTAATTTGAAGGGTAATTACTTGTTCGTGATCAATGACCACTGATTATATACTACAAAACACAGAGCTATAAAACTGACAGATGATGAAAGCATATAGTTATAACACACTGTGCTGGGAACATGACTTTTATGAACCCAATGCATAGCACCTGAAGTTTTCTCTAAGACATTTATAGAAAGGAAAACGCATACAGTAGAATTGGTTTTACTGATCACGCTCATGTTCATTCATATATCAGGATCAAAGATTATTTCCCAAAAGCCATTTCCTACTGATGCTGTTGTGTTTGCTCCTCACACACAATGATCAGCAGGACACTGGGTTGTAAGGGTCAGACTGGAACCGATTTCTTTGATTTTCCTATTATGATTTCAAAGGTAGGAAAGAATTCCACATCTTTCTGAAAGTCACTGGCTGTAAGCAGAGAAAACTAGAGCTCCTGAGAGAGTAGATTAGACCCGATTATAACCTGACTGAAATGTTATTGCAATAAAATGCCTAATACAATTTCTTCTTCGTTGGATATAGATATTTTGACCCCATGCTCCCCATACTTGTAGCTCTTTTGACTCTCCACTTTGGGGAGCCTGCTCATACTGAAAATGAGACTTCATGCTGACGATATTAAATTTCAATTCCTTGTTCTTTACAACAATAGTCTACTGAGGAAAGACATAACATTAATTTAACTAATTTTGTATTACATTGTGTTTAGAAATACTAAATAATGTTTGATAACGTCTTGGATCTCCAGCACATCAGTTGTTCCTTTGTAGAAAAGACTTGTCTCACCTTTGAAATGCTGAAATAATGTCAAACTCACAAGACTTGCCAACACAGAATTGTTATGAAAATAAATAAGAGATTTACAAGCTGATCACATGAGGAATGGGGCATCTCTTCCATCGACCTTTTCTATATGCTTAAGGCAAACCAAAATACTTAATGCCTCCAGCTATAGCTGTCATATTAAAAGACGGGAAGAAAGATATGGTAGGAAAAGAAATTACATTGAATCTGTTACAACTCACACATCATCAACTTACTTCATAAATTGTTGCTCTGTCAAAGAGGGACAACACAGCTGTAGGACTTTTCTTAGATGACTTCTGTTAATAGTGCCAGTACACTTAGGATCATAGGACTGCAAAGCCTTATGAAAATCTTTCCAATTTTCTGTGATTTTATCTGAAAGGATGTCCTCCACCTAACAATTGAATGAATTAGTAATGCAGGAAAGAAAAAAAAAGCATCCCTGAAGTTAAACTGTGGCAGCATTACTGCATGAAAAAATGTTCTAAAATGACAAATCTAATGTTGGAAGACCAACACTTCCTGAAAATGAACCATGTTATCACTTACAGTATTACAAGCTAGAACAAGAAGAGCAGGCTTCTTTATTTAGTTTGTTCCATTAAGCTATTCGTGAACCGTCTAACTTAAAACAAAATTATGTTCAACTAAAACAATTTTAGTGTACTAATTTCAAAGCGTGATGCAACGTCAGGCCCAAAATCTACCCTTGAAAATGTTTGTTCTGAAAACTGACTGCAAGAAAGCGTATACCTCACTTCATAGATCTGCTTCTTTAAGTGACCAAAGAGGCATGTCTACCGACTGATAACAACGCAGAGCTTTTACTGTTGTTTCTCCCCTCAGTCCTGTAAAACAAAATCCACTAGGACTGCATGAATTGCAAGTGGCACTCAACTTACTCAGGGCATAATTTGAAGACAATGGGCTTGCACAGGGGAAAATAATGACAAAATCTGGCTTACTAAACCTGTTTTAGGATCTGTCTGTAGCACTGGCAGTTAGAATAAAAGTGTTTTTCACTTGTAAATTGAGTACATTAAAACCAGAAGGTTCTGAGAAGAAACACACACAGGATCACATTTTGACAGAAAATCTCAGCATAATCGCAGATCTGACCAAGCACTGTACTATGCAGAATTTCAGGTGAAAGGAAGGAGGGGGAGATGCCCCTTGGGTTGTCTTAGCTGGCTGGGGGCCTAGATTGGTTCCAGGTCCTGGTTCTGCCCATTGCTGCTTTTAAGATTGCTCTGATGACATCATTTCTGAGAAATGATAAAAATGGAGAGACTTCTTGAAAAAGTTGTCCCCTTTCATTTGTACAACCTGTAATCTGCCTTTTCTACAGGATGAGCCACATTGATGGAGGTGGCATCACCACTCAGGACACAAAACAAAAGGATTCCCAGACACTCAGGCTTCCTTCCAGCTGCTTTTCATCAGGATCTGAGTACAAACCCAACCACAGAGTCCAGAACAGACATACTCCTCAGGGCAGAATCACTCTCAAAGTGTGAAACCACAGCCGCCAGGGTCATGTGTGGTTACTGTGTCATCCCTGGTGGTATTTCATCCCAAGGTGACAATGGTCTGTGATGCTTAACATTTCCTTTACCTGCCTTCTCTCATGCTAGCGTTTACTTCATTTGGGATGCTTATTTCAAATGACAAAAATGGGTAGTCATTTGTGTAGATCTCTAATATGAGCCTAACCAGCTTTATTTGTAAATCCCACTTAGTGTGCACATCAGTTGCACATGTAGGCACTGTCAGCATTCGCTTTTTCCCCAGCATGCTAATTTTACAACTATTAAAGTTTGCCCCAGAATTTCAGCCAGACCATTATTCTACTCAAAACGAGCTGGAGGGGACTTGAGCTGCTGCATCAAATGTTGCTATTGTTGGAGCCATCAGAGTGGAAAGCAGCCTGTTTCAGCTCCTAACATCAAAGCGTTTCAAAGCAATGCACACCATTCAGGGCTGTTCAATGGGACCTTCTTTTTGTGCGCCTAGTATCTCTCTTGACACTACTGCTCTCCTTTGATATCTCTCAAAACCACTATCCGGACTACCTAAGACAAATCTAAATATGGGGTTAGTCAGCTGGCATACTAATGCAAACCTAGAAAAGATTTTATATTGAAAATTATGAAAAATTATGAACAGCTTCTTAATATTAGGAAGTAGATTTGCAAACTGCGGCTTAGGTTATTTCTTACAATAATTCAGTAAGCAAAAAAGTATTGACTTATTTCTGTTAAAGGAAACAGACATACTGCACAGAAATATTGAGTGTGGGTTTCAGGATATAACCTCTCTGTACCCTCGGTGAATGGTTCTAAAGGAAAACGTTGTAAGACGACTGCAAATTCAGAAGGTGTCAAAGCTGTACCCAGGAAAATATGCAACGTCTGTGTAGTATATAGCATATATTTTGGAACAATGTATATTATAAAGAATAATAGATAAAACAAGAAACAACAAAATATCAGCAAAACAGATCTGACAACTGAAAACTAAGAAATACTACTGCTGTTCCTCCTCTGCTGTACACACATGCGTGAGCTAGTGATTCTGCTGGAGTTTTCAAAAACCTCCTGTAACCGTGAGATTGCTTTCCACTTGATGCTTCAGAAAGAAGAGTCTAGAAGTGCTGGTTATGATTATTGCATTGCTGGAAAGAATGTGAACATACTAACCTGGATAAAAACTGTGTGCAGAGCATAACATTTTACCAAAACACAATCCAGCATTTTGCCACAGCCATTATAAAAGAGGTTATGATTAGAGAATTAGAAGTAAACACTTACTACTGATTCTTTTTCTTCAAACAAGTCTAAAAATTCATGGAAGTCAAGGTATCCAGTCTGTTCTGGATCAATTATCTCAATTAACTCCTGGAAGTCTTTATCTTTCACTTGAAATATCAAGTTACGTAAAACATGACGAAGGTCATTTCTTGTGATCTTTCCATCTCGTTTCTAAGACAAAAAAAGAAAGCACGCATAAAAAGAGCGAACATTTACTAAAGCAATGCTGATTCCAACATGCCATTCTACACTGCTAGATCATCCTGACCTACAACAACTGAGAGCTCTGTGGCTGTTTCAATACTCTGTGTATACTGAATCTAGCACTTTTACTATGGTTCCCAGTGAGCATACAACTGCAGTATTTACTGGATGGAAGACTAGAACTATGGGAATGAAACTACAATGACCTTTCCATTACCTCGGGATAGATTATTTAGTTTGCTGGTAAACTGTGCCACAAGTAAATGGATATGTAAACTTGCTTCGCACAGACCAGCTCACATTCAGGTCAGTTTATCAGCTGCATTTCATTCCTTACCTGGTCTGGAATCAATGTTCACACAAAGTTGTGTCTGACTGAATAGTTCCTGGATCTGAGTGAACTTGACTCAGTCGAGTCGAGTCTAAGTTGCTGTTATCATGTACCCCAACCACTGCCTTAAGTCCATGCAAAAGTCCATCAAGTGATGTCTGTTATTAGATCCTAATACAGCTCTCAGCATAGTCATAGACAGCACGTGAGCCTACATTTATCAGTGCTCACTGATCTGTGGCAGGATTTTCTTCATTATTAGCTTCAGAACAACAAGCAAAAACTCAACTAAACATTTTATGTTTGAGCACAGCTTTTTCTAGGGCTGCAGTTTTCAGATGTGGTCCATGACCATGGCGGTCCATAAGGCCAGAGTAAATGCTGTGCAAACACTTGGGTCATTACAGAGATTTCGGTTAAAGATGCAATTATAAGTACATGGCGAGCCTTGAGAAATTCTGACTGTTCAGAGTGGTGTGTTAATCCAAAACATTTGAGACCGTACTGTCTTTGGACTTCCTCTTTCTTTTCTCATGCGTCCTTTGCATCTTAATATGCATCCTTTAAATCAGCTGCTATACTGCTAGTCTGGGTCTACTGGCATTCTTGACCTGGCTAATGAGGGTGAATCAGCTCTCAGGGAGAATCTCCATCTGAAGCCTGATGTCCTGTCACATTGTCATGCCAATGGATACTCATTTGGACTGTTAAGGTAATAGGCAGTGGATGTGTTCATGCAACAGAATCAGGATATTTTTATTTTGCTACACTTAAGGCATAGTTTTTCTCTCAGTTCCCATGGCAAATAATATCCATAATTTATGTAGGAGAATTTTAAATATGGGTTTATACCAACTCTTTTCTATGACTGTCTATTGCATTTTATAATTTTAAATTTGTTCCTGAACTTTTACTTTTTTTTTTTTTTAATTGTTTCTTTATTTTCTCTAAAGAAACCTGAGGAAAGATAATGGGGGGAAAGAAGAAGAAAGAGTGGCATAAAGGCTTTGGAACAATAACAGAAAAATTAGGAGTAAATAGTTCCTTCAGTGATTCAGTTCTCCTGGCTAAGCACTAGACAAACATCTTTCTGTTCATAAAATTCACCCTAAGAAAATTCTGTTTCCCTTTAGTCCCCCACAGAGATCCAGGGTGGCAGTAATAATATAGAGGATGAGCAATTATTCACTTCATCAGTTGGTCTGGGAAATACTTTAAAGTTTTGCAATCAAAAGATAATGGTCTTGTGAAACTACTTTCTGGTATTTGAATTTTCTTTAGAGACTGTTGTCACTGCATTAAATCATATGGAAGCAAAACCTGATAATATACCTACCTCCCCCAGTAAATAAGTTAGGGAATCTGGTACTGAAGCTATAAAAATAGCTTGTACTTCACAAGAAACAATTGTGTAGAATGACTAAGTCTTACCCATGAAGATGAAATATCTGTTACGATAAAAATAAATTACATTTTGTTAGAGACTGTTGTCACTGCATTAAATCATATGGAAGCAAAACCTGATAATATACCTACCTCCCCCAGTAAATAAGTTAGGGAATCTGGTACTGAAGCTATAAAAATAGCTTGTACTTCACAAGAAACAATTGTGTAGAATGACTAAGTCTTACCCATGAAGATGAAATATCTGTTACGATAAAAATAAATTACATTTTGTTCAAACCTTAGATAATATGGGAAAGTTAAGATACACTACATCAGGATTTATTAAGCAGATTGCATTTGCTTATTTGGCCGCCTCACAAGTTCAATTTTATTTATGCAAAAGGATTTAATTTTATTGCCCAGATCATTGTCTAAGTCAGTCCAGCATCAGTGATGTGACTGGGGATGTGCTGGTCTATTCCAACAAAAAAATCATGATGTTATGTATAAATATAAACCATTCTTCCAAGCATGTCTTTCACTGTGGAAGCCTCTAGATGCTGGGGATTAAATAGTTCTTTCTTCAGCCTATCTTTCCACCATCTCAAATACCTCTGCCTTTGTTAACAATTTCATTCAGTAATGCTCCAGTTCAGTAAATGAATTAAAATCATGTAGTAAAGTGCCTTACTGAATCATGGCCTGAATGCTGTAGGCGTTACTATTATCTACTGCAATGTATGAAACTGATTTCTTTTCCTATAAATTGCTAGGTGAATTCTTTCTTTTTGTGGTCATATATATATATATATGTATATAGATGAGAAATAGTACAGCTAAAAAGAACAGTTTTTATGTAATTATATTAGAAAGGAATTGTGATACATCATCTATATAAAAACATCTAATAAAAAAATGCCAATACTACTTCTAAAGATATGCCCAGTGCTCCTTTCGCTTGTGTCAACCAGACTGAGAGCTTTAATTTTTTCAGTCTATTATTTGCTCATTCAATTCAGAAATACAGAGTCTACAATTTAAGAAGTGCAATAGGTAGCAAATCAAAGTAATAAAAAAATCCAGCTTGCCCACTAAAGGGTTGATCACACAATCCGGTGCATGGGACATACATATCATGACATTCCATCAAAACTGACAGAAAGGCATTTTAGCATAGCTCTGTACATCGTGAGGGCCACAGAGCCGGTAAGGATAGACAGTTCTTTATCAAAAGCTCATATTCCAGAACTAAACACGAAAAGGTTATCCAAAGCCTAGAAAAAGCCAGATGAAGTTACTTTTGAGACTGGAGTGAACTATGCAACTGTAGGCTCAACATTGTGACAGTCTACCTGTCAGATGACAAACTGCAAAGGTAAACCTTTTACATATACATGATAGCGCTCTCTGCTTAGATCATACAATATGAGCTTGTAATAATTACTGTACAGTTCTGATTCTCATTAACTTTACCTATCATACTGATTTTACCCCTTCATCGAAAGAGATTTGCCTTGTCTGTAATTTCTCCTGTGCGCACAGGGACCACGGGGGTGTATATTCGTCGCTAGGCGGTGTATTTGGACGTACACACTTATGACATCTCCCTTCTTTTCCAAAATGCTGTATCTCAGATTAAGGTGTAGCCTTATCCTACACATGTTAATGCTTATCTTTAATTTAAAAGTCAATCACAACCAATTGGTCTCCTTTAGCATGTAACGTAAAAGAGGTATTCATGTTCTGCAGTATTTTTATAGTATTTTACATCATCTGTATAATGTTAAAACCATTAACTATGTTCCTTTAAACCTTTTACGACACTGGGAACACTCTGAATTTTACCCGATGCCAGGTTTCAGCACAGGACAGAAAACATTTTAGTTTCTCTTACGAATCTGATGCATTTAAGTAAGAACTTGAGTTAGGAGACTTTCCAGTACAACTTGAGTTCCTTGCCCTGAGATGAACAATCTCTTTTTAAAAAAGACTAAAATAAAAACAATGAAATAATGCAGGTGAAAAATTACAACTTGATACTGTAATTTTAAAATTCTAAATTTGCAGGAGATGCAACTCTGAAAGAACTATGATGTCACATCTTCAAATGACATAGATGCCAATGCTTTAGGTGGCTGGGACACCACACATGATCAAGAATAAGAACTATCAAACAATGCACTCGACATAATGGAATGTATAAAAATAAGGATATATAGTAATAATTTTTAATTAAAAAAAAAGCTCAACTAATTTATACCGAATATTGCCCACTCAAATTATTTTTAATGCCTTTTTGTTTCTGTGTTTCAGAATATATGGAGAAACTTTTCTGAAAACATTCTAGGAGGCTAGAGAAGTTGTTTTGTTATTAATTCCTGGGTGTTGAAACACTTGTATAACTATTGTTTTCTAGGATCTGAGTTTTAAAGTAAATCACAAAATATTGCAAGACTCACAAAAGAACATCAAAGCGTGCTTCACTCGTCCTTTTATAAAAACTCGATCTGATTCAACATTTTAAAGTCAAATTTGTAGTATAGTTACAGGGAACATTATATTTCTAGCTTGCACATTAGAAAGCACTGCTACTAGGTTGGGATTTTGCTTTCAGAATATGGATTAACAGGTAGGGACCAGTAGCATTTTAGACTCCAACACATCGAGAACAATTCAGAAAAAAAATCAGTTGGAAGAAAAAGGAGGCAGGCAGTTGGCTTGTGTGCTGGGCTGGGCAGTGATGTGATGAAGAATCAGAAGCATGCTGTATGAACCTATTAAAAACTTTTAGATAAGAACATGAATGTATTTAAATCCTGGAACGGAAGACATTCAAGTTCAAATCTATTTCTATCTCCCGAAACAAAAGAGCAAGAAACTTACTTTTGTTAACTCTAAGACATGAGGAAATGTCTTTACTTGGTTTACATGGCTTTTTCATAATAGCAGAAAACCCACTCACACGGTTACATAAATATTTAGGAATGTTACAAATTCATGCATGTTTAGACATTAATAATGAGCTCACTGGTGAGATCACTGCTCTGTTGAACTATCGCATACAGCAGCTGAGCAGGAGAATAGTATTTCCTAAATGTCACTATGCAGACCCTAGCGTGAAAAGAAATTAAGACATCCAAGAAGACTTTTCTTGTGTTGATCACATGAGACTGAACATTTTTCATAGTATTTCTTCTGCATTAAGTGTCAAAGCCAGTAGATATCGCATTTCATTTTACCAATAAGGAAATCAGCTTTTCTGGGAGCTACCACACTTGACGATAGACTGTGGTAGGCAACAAGAGGAGGTGATCCACTTGGGCCCAGAGACAGCCCTGAGCAGGAGGAAGAGAGGGGAGAGGGAATGCAAAGCCAGGTCTGGAGATGAACCCTGCATAATCAGGATATAGAATCATAGACTATTTTGGGTGGGAATTTATAATGCCCGACACTGAGCTAACCAATGGTACCAGTGAACAGCTGCAAATTAACACATCTGGATCCCTCTCTTGGAATTAGCAGCTAACAGGGCTGTCCAGGACTCTGGCAGAGGCAAAATGGGCATTGGGGCCCTGCCTGCTGTCCTGGGGCAGTGTGCTGCCCGAGGCAACGGTATACCTTACCTATGCCCAGTGGCATGCCATTTTGACTAAGAAATGAGAACACTACAGATGCAAATGGCAGATATCAAACAAGCATGAGAGATAACAGAACCAGATAACAGAAACCTTCAAATGGAATTGTAGATAAGAAGCTATTCTCAGGTAGGTCTGTTTCTAACGAGGTCTTGCAGGGCCTGATTTTTAGCCCTGTGCTATACATCCTTTTTATACACACACGTACATATACATGTGTCTGTGTGTGTATAAACAGAGTAAACACATCTGTCTCTCTGCATATATATTTATATACATACATACATACACATGCGTACAAATAACCTGAAAAAAACCCAAAAACTTTAAAACATCAGATGACCATAGATAACTGAAAGACAAATGGAATGGTAAAATGACAAAGAGAACAAACCACTGACACAGCATGACTGGGAAGAATAATCACAAGTAAAGAATAAGCTTTCTAATAAAGTCCTACATTAAGAAATGGAGAAAATATGCCAGAATAGAATTGGAATTGTAATTACAAGAAGCAGTTACTCTTAAAGATTTGTAGGTCATAATATATAATCAAAGCATAAATAAATTGTCAGTATGATGTTACGCATAAGGGACTCAGGCAATCCCTGGATATAGAAACAGGGGAACACTTAGCAGTATCTGGAAAGTTATATTATTTATTTTTCTGGTACCAGTGCAACTTCTATGAAAGCACCAATTCTCATTTCTGTCATAACATTTCATGAAATATACAGAAAAACTAGCAGGGGTTCAAAGGCAGCCACAGGGATGATTAAAGAACTGACCAAAATGACTTCCAGTGAAATTGTAGGAGGTCAATAATTTTTGTTTATCAGAGAGGTTGTTACAGATTATTTCGTCCCTGGTTGCACATATCTATGTTAAAGAAACTTGAAAAACAGACTCTGCGTGCTGCTGTAACAGAAAACAAAGACTGGCAACCACCAGATTACTTTGAAGCAGACAGGAGACACAAATGTTTAGCTGTAAGAGTAATTAACCAAGGCGACACCTAAAAATAATTGCTCTTACTTCATCAAGCATAAGGAATGCCTGCTTTAAAGTGGGATAAGCATCTTGGATGTATCTGCACAGCTTCTGAAGAACAGTGTCACTGGAGAAAGCTTCATCTCCTCTAGCTGGATTTACTCTGCAAGAGGAAAAAAGACAGTATTTGCAATGCTTTCATGTCTCACCCTCTTTTGCTCCCTGTGTTCTTCTCAGAATAGGAAGCATAAATCACCTCATTAAGACTCAGGGTTTGATAGGATTCAAAATAAGAGTGCACTTAGAGAAAGCATTGCCAAAAGATTTTTTAACTGAATTTAATCAAGGGTGACCATCGAGTGGATACACTTTGCATTTTCAATAAATGTGTATACCACAGGTTACTTACATAAAAAAGGAACTTCCTACTTAGTTATCTTTTTTTCTCATAGGAATTGTCTGCCTGTTTTCAAAGGTGCTCCCAGGATCCTGGAATTTTTCTAAAACTTCTTGCCAAGCAATTTTACCTGTGGCTTTCAGTCCAAATCTGATTTTTAAAAAAGAAAACAGTTTCAAAAGATTTTCTTATAAAAACACTCTACGTTCCAAGAAGAATTTTGAATTAGAACATCACATCATCATTATAATATCAATGTGTGCAACATTCATAATTAGAGTAAGATTGCATAGCTTTTCTTTGTTACTAAATACGTAATCTGAGCCAACTTGTTTTCTCAATTCCAAATGTCTAGCTGTGGAAGAACTAGACTCCAAGCGAGAATTCATCTAACCAAATGTACATGCCTGCACCTGAGCGAGTCACTCTAAGTTCCCTTTATAGTCATTGGGGAGAAACAGGCACTTTCAGGACAGGATTCATCTCATCCTAAAGTAGACATCTAAAACTGGTTAGATGAATCCTGCCCGTTGTTTTTCTCCAGTGACTGTAAAATGGAGTCTAGGAGGAGCAGTTCAGGCACAGGCGTTCACATTAGAGATGTCTAGAATGAGATAGTATTTAATGCATCCCTTCTCATTATTTACACATAACAGTAGAGAAACTAACTAAGGGGAATAGTATGTTGGGTTTTTTTAAATGTTATGATGTTCATTGCATCCCAATTTGAAAACTTCAAAAGTAATGGAAGTGTTAAACTATGTTAAAAATCCTGGGAAGTTAACTAGTATCATATTCCATGAATAATTACTTTAAAATCAATAAGGATCTGATCCCATGACCCCCCAAACCATTGGCATATCTCCTATTCAGTTTCAATGGTACTGCAGAAAGCTCCAACGAGCATGGCTAAATGCACTCCTACTTGAGATGGTGCTTTGTAGGCAATTACATCCCTCACATATCATCAGAAACGTGCTGACTCGCTACTCTAGTCATCTCAAAAAAGCTTTTAGAACTCCTAATGCTCCTTAAAATGGTGGCAGATGGTGTTTAGAGCATTTGCTAATCCAGGATGCATAGGGAAAAGCTAAAAAATTACCAAATGCAGTCAGAGGTATGCAAGACTTCCTGGATCTTTTACAAAAAAGCCTCCTGGTTTTGGACTACCCAGCAGTTTCTCAAGCTCAGCCAACAAAGCTAAAAACCAAAAGTTATAAGAATCACAGCATTCAGGCTTTGGTCGACTGCAACCTGACAGCACGGGGTATTTAATGGGTGGGGAGGGACCCCGACTTTTTACAGTGGTCCTGCCTGTGAGTAGTGCACACGCACCATGGCTCAGTGGCTCAAGGGCTCAGCATCTCCCACTGCACAAGCAGCACAATTGCACCAGAGCCCAGAAGAGGGGCTGGGAAGGGCCAAGCACCAAAGCCGCAAGGTAAATGAAGACAGAGGCAGTGCTGGCACTCAAATTTCACCAGGGGAGCCATTTCATTCCCTGCAGGGAAGGGCTTTGCCAACAATCCTATTGAGGGATGGGTTATTAAAAAAAGCTGTGGGAAGGATAGATATTTCATATCTGATTATTGTCTTGGATAAATGAATATGAAACAAACAGTATGAAATAACAGACGATCTTTAAAATTAAGGCCAAGATAACAACTGTTATTTTGAGCCCCCAACCGAGATCCCTTCACACTCAAATGTCTATGGTCTACTAAATCACTCAAATCACACTGTGGAGAGCAATTCTGCGCTGAAAATGAGCAACCAGCCAAAGCTGCGTCAATCAGAGAAACAGACCTCTCCACTTCCACCTCCTTGCTCAGAAGCCCTACAATCGCCTCTCAGACTTCAGCAGTGACAACTGCCAAAATCCTGGGAGCTGAAGGGATCTTAGGAAGAAATACTAATGCGGATGTGTGAAGGTCTGGCATTACTAGCTATGATTTGTGCTGCTATTGATCAGTCCACGAGGTGCAGTGGTTTTCCCCCGTTCTGCAGATGCGTAATGGATTGTGGAGCTCTTCCAGTTCTGCCTGTGGCTGGCCAACACAGCACTTTTCTCTTGCAGGTTTTATCACGGAAAGGGATGAATCAGGCCCTCATGGGGGCTGGGGCGGGGGGAAAGGAACTCCCCAGCATTAAGTTCCATGGATCAAATTGAAGAAAGCCCTATTTAGACAAAGCTGTCAGTGGGAATAAAAACCGAGGAAGGACTTTGGAGTATTTTTTTTTATTTCAAAACAATCCCTCTTTATAGTTATAATACTGGCCCTCAGATTTCAAGCTGTGCTAGAAGGGCAATAAGTACAATATTTAAATGCCATAGGTAGAATAACTGAGGCGTAGAAAGATTGTTCCATTGTAGGGCCAGAAAAAATGCGCATCTTTTGTGAGTAGTAATCCAGCATTTTATCTACTATAGTAGTCCAGATAACTTATTAAAGTAATAAAAATAAATTCTGCATGGCTTTTTTGAAGTATGCTTATGGTTATGTCCAAGTAGAAAAGAGTATGCTTCCAAAAGAACTGACTGATTAGAGCTGTAACAACACGGATAACTGGTAAAACCATGCGATGTATCATCTTGTGGTGATCCTTTACAAAACACTACCCATTGAGAAATTTTTAACCATCAATGCTTTAGCATCTGATACTTTTATACAAATCATAACTTAAAGAAATGAAGCATGAGGATAACACAAACAGTTTAAAACTACCTCTGCTGCTGAAAACTGTCCTTGTGTTTTTAACTGATATTATGTTCACCAAAGTCCCGATCAACTGAGCACAATGATTTACCTCATATCACAAATAAAAGTCACCAATTAGAAATCCCAGCAGCCACCAGAAAAGTCTTAGAAGTTAGGCCCTCCATTGGCAAAGCCTTCATACTGCTCATGTATGATTTGCTCCCAACCAGTCAACAAGAATACCCTTCACTATGTCCCTCAACCTTGTGAGGGACACAATCCACAGCAAAGCTCCAAAACATAACCAAAATATTTCTCACATGGGAATGATGAAATACTGTGAAATTAATTCCTTCAGTTTATGCAACTCTCTATATAACCTCAAGTTCATGATATTTTACTTCTAAGTGAAAGAATTTTCAAGATAGAAGTGATGGAATTCAGGGAATTCAGGACTTGGATAAGTGATGTTCTTTGAATGAAGCACACCTCAGTGGTCTGCCTCTGATGTATCTGATCTTGCTGCAGTGGGGACGTATACTGAGAGATAAGTACGTGGGTAATCTGGTCCTAAACCAGTCAAGGATGAAATCCTGGCTGAAGTCTAAGGCAAAATTGCATCAACTTCAATGGGCCCTGAATTTTATATCTGGAGCCCATGCGATGTAAATACCTAAACCAACCATAAAATGCTGTCATGTATTATTTCTTATAAACAGCTTCCTGGCACATCTCATGTCATATTATTCAAATAGAATCTTAAAAACCTTGAAATCATGTCCCTTGCCCATCAATTACTATTACATTTATTATCAGCTACAATGAAGTTACTTAATTATTAGAATTAGATGACTATGAGGAACTTTTGCTGTTGTTCCATTCACCTGGTGGAGCTTTGAATTACATTATCTGAGAAATATCACCTAAGAGATATGGCATACATAGGCTTGAACATTTCTGTTTACAGCATCATTAAAATGTCACTATATTTTTCAAATGCTAGAGAAAGCTCCAGTGGAAGAATACATGCAGAAATCTTTACATAGGCAACTGCTCTTAAGAGCAAGATTTACTCTAAGATTTAAACTAGCAAGTGACATGAATTGAAAAAAAAATATAATAGCAATTTTTTGACAAAGTAATAGTTGATCATTGTTATATCACACTGTGAACGACTAGAAGGAAATCAGATTCATCTGCTGAATGCACAAAGCAATATGGTTACTGCAGATGACACTCTCGTACAACACCTGCTGCTGTAAAACGTATATCTGCACTGAGCTCTTTACAGCTAACTAGTGCATATAAAGAAAAAAATAACTCAACTGATTATTTACATGGATTAGCCTATTCTTCCAACAATTTAAATAGATAAACTATAAATTGTGGAATCATTAAGCAGTAATGCATGATCTGGTTACTGACCTCCTCACACTGTATGATTTGGGTGCCTTGTCCTGTTGTAAGCCTAAGCAGTATTTTGGAGTAAAAATGCTGTGTAAGACTTAAGTTGTTCTTCCTTTCTCTTTCACTGGCCATATGCCCTTGGCACTGTTGCCAACAAGGATAAAGTATATTCTGGCAGTTTTCTTCTCACAGTTTTTGGTTTCTGAGTACAAAAGATTAATCATGAGAGATCCTGGTCTAGATTTAACCAAAAGCCACAAAACCATCCATTCCTATGATATTCTGGCTTTAAAAAGGAAATATGAGTTTAGGAAGCTAGTCAGCATATGCTGAAGTGATCATGTCCAGGAAATCATATTTTGGAAAACGTTCTGTGGCCTAAACTCTGTCTGCTGAGATCCTTGAGGCTGGGCTGGAAAATGTTTTCTATCCATTTATCTTCTGTACAATATACTGCCCACAAGATGATGTGAGTTTTGGTCATAATACAACAAAGATGCCTGGTTAAAGTAAAACAGTACATTGATTTGAATCCAGTAGTTGGCATGATTTCTCAACCTTCACAGCAGTTTTAATAAAAATATTTACAATGTCAAAATCTAAGTTCAAAATATTTTTTCCTCATTTTAGTTTAAATTCAAATTTCCAGGTATGAAATTGCTTTATTATGCAGCACAGTAGTGTCCTTTCAGTTACCTTTTTCAGTGACTGACAATGAGCAGTGCAGAGTGAAAGCTTTCAGCGTTAGTTTGTTCATTCACTTTAGTTTCACTTCTTCCTTTCTTTTCCTTGCCACACCAGCATATTTAAAAAGGAGAGGCTTGCAGAGTCACACTCTCACCATGCGAATATGGTGCTAACAGTCGTGAAGCTGCTCTTCCAGCAAATTCACACCATCCCACATCACTAGTCATTTGAATGCAAGAGAGTAATGCTCCCTTTAGGAAATTAAATATAAATTTGTGAGAAAATAGAAGTAAGAAAGCAGTAGCTTAAAACTTCTACTCCATTAAACCTATATACCTTACTGCAAAAAACTTGGTTTTATACCCAGCTGTATCAGCTTTTACGTACTGTGCCATACATACTGCAATACAGGCACAAGTAAGATGAATTAATGATGGTAGTCACAAAAAGCAATAATAAAGGTATAACGCAGCAACGCTAAAAAATGTCCCCTAAGAAAATAATATGACTCTTACCTATTCATTAGCTCTTGAAAAGTTTCATTTGGCAAAGGAAATATAAAGCCATTTATGACTGACTTCAAGTAATCCAAAGACACAAATCCACTCTGACTGACATCAATTGCTCTGAAGGCTTTTTCAATGTCCTGATAGGCTGAACACAGCTGTAATGAATACAATTTATAGTGTTTTGTTCAGAAAAATCAAGTTCATGAAGCTTTTAAAACAATAATGCATTTTTTACAAGACCTTTTCAAATATTCTTCGCTGTGAACTGATCAAATAGGTTACCCTGGCATGTTCTGACCATCAGATGTTTAATTAATAAGCTCACTACAAAACAGTATTCCCAATCACACACTCTCAAATGACAAGTCAGACAAGTTTCTCAAATAATAACTCTGCCTCAAAATTCAGAGCTAAAAATAGTTGGTGGATCAGCCTGCTTGATAACACCTGTCTTAATGTAACTTTAAAACCATCCATGGCATAACCTAGTATCAACGTTCCCTTAATTAAAATGGGTCGTTAGCACAATGAATACTGGAAAATGTTAGAAGACATGGAATAGTTAACATAGCTGTTGTATAAACATATCGCACATTTCTTTGGTTATTTTTTTAATTCATGGCTGTTGCAAAGGAGCTATGTGGATGAGTTTTTGCTGATGGGTCTTGTAAAATGCCTGAAAGTTGACTTACTGCAGATTTTGATAAGGCTTATGAAACAACAGGAAGACTGGTTTGTTTTTCTGAAATGTTAGCTGACACTGGGTTGTTGAATACTGCAAGCAGCCCTGAGGCTTTTTTCCCCCTGCCATTTTTTGACAAGTACCCCATCCGCTTCTAAGCTGATTATTGTTCATTCAAAACTGCCGAAATCACAGTGTAAAGATAACATATAGAGAGACTTTAGAAAGCCTAAAATAAACATCAAGGACTGGGAGGGCTTGTAAGGTGAGATGTACTGTGCTTCCAATCCAGGCCTTGACCTCCATATCAAAGATATACAGAATGAAAAAGGGTCAAGATGTTGAATGTCCCTGTAGCCTTGTTTGTCCCTCCTCTGCTGTCTTTTCAAGGCTGAGAAAACATAGTTACAAGCCTGTGTAATTGAGCCTGTAGTGGAATATGCAGTCTTGATGCACATATCAGCTTCTCTTTTCTTAGACAGTCAGGATTTTCATGACATGAAGGCACAAGACTGAGTGTTGGAAAATTTTGTTTCTTTTCACTTTCCCATAAAGCAGGTGGAACACAGTTAAGTTCCACCATCACACTCCCCAACCCTCTTCAGTTAAGATCACATCTAAGGGCATGTGGAGACGTCATTTGCCATGTCTATCCCAGGTCCACTCTCTATTCTAAGCTTGCCACCACATATTAAAAAAATGCATTTTTGCAGTAGCACCTATCCACTAATTATTTATTTCATGCAGGTCAGAAAATAATTGTCAGACAATGCTAACTAGTCATTACTCAGTGTAAGACATTACTTACTTTGATCTGACAGAGTGATCTAGCAATTCACATTATGAAACACCTTAGCCATCAAGCTTCGATGCAGTCTCATTTTGTTTTAGCCTAAGGAATCTGGAGTTCTAATAAATATGTTTTTAATGCTGTGAATCTAATAAGCAAGACTGGAACACACAAAATAAAACAGAACTGCTGCTTCTGCTAACCAGCTTTAAAAGCAAACAAGAAACCCTGTGCATGGAATTTGTTTATAAAAGGAGTTGGTATAATTAACTGGCCTCAAAGCTTGGCAATTTTCTTTGCTTGTGATGCCTGGCTCAGCTTCTCCACCTGACAAAGTATTCTGAAGTATTAATGGCACTCTCTTACCTTTTCTCTAAATGCCCTCTCAGTGCTATCCAGACTGCACTCTGCCACAGCATGCTCAGCTGGTGAAGACTATAGAAAAAGTTTTTTCTGCTTCTGTTCCTTCTCTTCTATTTTGTGGCAGATTAGTGCTGTTAAGAAAACTGATTTAGCAAAGTCTGCAACTTTGTCAGCTTCAAAGAAATAAAGCCATCTGAAACTCTTAAAGACTGTTTTTGTTAACTTGATAAATCTTTATGTACAAACAGACTAAACCAAACCTGAAATACAACTTTCTTGTATTTTCTTGTATTTCAAACTTGATCAGTAGTTCAAAATTATGCTAACTAATCTGTGCATTTGTTGTAGTAGTTTTTCATTTCATATTTCTTTTAAAACATAATACACATAACTTACAGTCTTAACAGGTAACTTTACTGCATTTAATATCAGAAGGTACTACGAGAAACTGACTCCCTCTCTTTGTCAGTATGTTTCCAGAATGATCTACTACCAAAAATATATTTTCAGGAAATGGAAGACAGTCTCCTTACAGGCCTTTGAAAATAAACATGCCTATTGACCTTGAAAAGGCTCTTTTCTTTTTCCATTTCCTTCACATACTCCCGTTTCACTGTCCCATCTTAGCTCCCACAGTCCTTGGAAGAACTTCCAGTTACTGTAAGTCAAACAGCCCTCCTCAATGATTCCCCATCAAAAAAACCCAACACAAAAACCAAACCAATTCTGTGGAATATTTATTTCATCTGGGCTGAGCAGCTCATTTTGTGATGGTGGTTTGTTGTATACTGCTCTACTTAATGTGCTGTTGGCATGTACACTCTGCGATAACGATTCTGCTATGGATGTGTTATGTTTGATTCAGAGCATAGCAGCAACCGTGTGACCTTGTGACGGACAAGACACAGGCATTTTGAGAACCTTAAGCACAAAGAGTATGTGCACCAAACTCTTTCAAAGGTTATTCCAGTGCGGCTACATAGGAAAGAAAATGCTGTTCTGTATGGAAAAGGATACCAAAGTGTGACTACTCTGTGCTTAGGGCATGCTCTCCACTGTTCCCTCTGCCCGCACAGCGGCCTGCTGAACACAGATTTTCCTTCCTGTTTAAATAAAGCTAATCTTTTTATTACTTAAACTTTTGAAATTTTTTTGTGTGAATGCTCAATTCCATTTAGAACTGCTCTATTACAATTTAGTTTTGGTTGGGTACTAATATTTATCAAAGAAATATCACTCAGTTTTGTACCTCAGAAATGAACCAGAGAGGTTACCACTAATTTATCTGGATGATTTTAAAATCTATTTTTAGACCAATGTTGATGGGTAATTTTTTTATAACTACTTTACATGGACAAGGCTCCACTTCTCAAAGTGGGTGGGTGAAAAGGATGAAACTGGGAATCAGAGGGCAAGAAGTGAATTCAAGACCCTGTGAGTATGGTAGGGCTGCAGGAACACCCCACAAGCAAGGTTTCTGAATGTCTGAGGCATCCCATGGTGGAATGAGTGGGGAGGTTCTGTCCCAGGCCCCGTTAACCAGATGGGCTAATTAAGAGGGTTAATCACGCACAATGCTAGGTACAGCATGTACTAGGAAGGAGGAGGAGCCTTAATTCATAAGATTATTTCTCCACAATTTCAGTACCCCACACAGGAAAAAAAACCCTCTATTTTTGGCAGTTATATTTACTTCTAGTAATGGTTTCAAAACAATCTTTGATAGTACTGCACAAACTTACAAACCTCTATATAGTCACACCATAGCCGTGTAAAATGGTGAGAAGAAAAAGTATTATTAAAATACTTGATATTCTGACTTCATGATTTCAAAAGAGTTCGGCTTCTTCTGATCCTACTGAAGCCAATGTGAACTGTTGGTATTCAGGGCCTTCGAACATCAGGCCATGTATTCAAAATTGGTTCAAAAATAATTCCTACCACCCAAGGGAAGACTTTTTGTCAGGAAGAGGATAATCATAATTCAGACTTCTGGACTGCTGGCTTCTCTTTCTAGACCAGGATAGATTTTTTTATTTTTCTATAATTCTTTTCATGAAGTGCTAAATTTTGAGTAGTAGAAATGAAAGGGACAATGCTTGAAGCTAATGCTCTTTAGCCTGCAAAGTACAGGTAAGTCTTTACTGGCTTTCTTCAGCAAAGGTAAGTTTAAATGCTTCCTTTTAATCAAAAATAAATTAAAAAATAATTAGCAGTTAGCCTCACACTCATAAAAAATCCTACTGCCAAAATATCATATGTGTACATGTGTGATGGAGAAAATACCTTGTTAAATACACTAAATTTCAAGATATGCAAACAGATTTACATTATTTTTAAATGTACTGGAAGGGCCTTTCTCACTATCTTATCTTGAGCACCTTCTTAAACTCACATCTCCGTAGACCCTCACATTCACATTGCGGGTAAATCTGGCAGATTTTTGCCGTATAACCTCTCAAACACAGCCTTTTTCATCCACACAGAGGGCTAAATCTCTTCACTGCCTCCATTCATCCAACAATTGAATTACTGAAACACACTTTTTCTGTCTTTGAGGAAAACAACTGTATCCTGCTCTTATCAATGACTCTTCCTTCCCTGGCCAACAAACATAAGCTAATGCCTTCATTTTAAGGTTCTCCACGGCCCACGTCCTCCATGCCAATCACCTTTCACTCAGGAATGACCCCTCATGCCACCTTGGACTGTCTGGTTCTTGCCATTTCAAACAAATACATTTTGTATCTACTCTTATGCTGACCCTTATATTTGAGAGGACCTGCCCATACACATTCACAAACTGACTTAATTACCGACCATCAATCCTTCTTAAACACCCTTCTTTGAGTTGATGCCTACAAAGACATTCCAATAAGTGAGGTTGCTGCTATGCTTGAAACTACTGTCATGCTGACAAAAAATGTCTTACTGTCACCTTGACCTCCCCAACCTGACCAAGTTCGCCATTTTGTCACTGTCTTAGAGTGTAAGTTCTTTGTTACACAGATTACCTGCGAAGTGCAGTATGATTGAATACTGGGTGAAAACTGGGGTTCCCAAGTGCTACAAGATTCCAAATTGCTGTAACAAGTTCTTTATCTGGGGTTTATGAGCTTGTAATGGTGATTTTACTTTTTGGCTCATGTAACGTGTCACCTTTTGATTTTAAAGGCAGTTTTCACACACAGTTGGCAGAATTTCCCAGGCCAAAGGAAACTGGCTTTCTTTTCCTCCCTGTCCTACTTGTATCTGCTGAGAATCAGAGGCTATCAATGTCCTACAAAACTGCAAACCAGGTCCATGAAGGCCAACAGAAATACTTCGGTTGATATAACTGGAAAGAAGAAAAGTACCCAAGTTTCCACTCCTTTTCTGAGCACATACCTGGAACTTCGTTTTCTGTGCTTTTTTCTTTAACTGTGTTTGTACTTACGCCAAAATTCTTCAGAAATTCTTTATAATTCATGACACTAGAGTCTCTAACACAGTAATGGTTCCACAGCCTAGAGAAAAAGAGCCATTTTTTTAGAGATCACAGCTATTCTAGATCATACTTGTAGTGAATTGAACAAATAGGAAATTTATGAAATCTTTAGAAACACAATATGTAAAAGATTGTGAAAAACAATTAAGCAGTGAATTACTTTTTTCTACCTTCCCACTACATTTTTCTCTGGTCTCTTTCCTCTGCCCAAGATTGTCTATAGTATACAAGTTGTCTGCATAATATGATTCAAATCCTACATACAGTGCCATTTTCTTGGCCATCTGCATGAACATGAATTTTAATATATCCGCACAACGACATTTCTTTTCTAATAATATAAGAACATTATGCTATTCTTAAACAAATTGAAGCGTAACTTATGATAAGTCATACCTAAACTCTGTAGCAAGTTGTCTAGATTTTATAGCAGGCTGGAAAATTTGCAGCAGCTTCATCTGGATTAAATGGGAACCTCACTTTGCAATTAGAACTCATTTCCACATGGTATTAACTTCCACAGCTTGGAAATTAATCTTTGATTGAAAGTGTTTATTTTCTAGATATTTCCCCTGATCAGCACTGAAGTTGTTAATACCGTATACACTTGCCATCCTCGGATTGTATCCAAATGCTTGGAAAAAATGATCAGTTTTCGCCTTTCAGAACGACAGTTTGTTAGAGAATCCAGGACCAGTTTATCACAAGTTACTGTGGGATTTACCTCCAATCCCCTTCAGAAAACACTGCTGTGACTCATGCTCATGTTTTATCTTCCTAATCATGAAACCTAGAAAGACGTAATTTTTAAAATGAAAATTAAAATTCTGTTGCATAAAGAGGATCCATAAAGTCTAAAGCTAAAACGGTACCATTAGAACATCTTGTGTATCACAGGCAACTAAGTTTCTCTCAACTTCCTTTGCATTTAGCCCCATAATTAGTCTCTAAATACAATAAAACTTGTGTTTGATTAAAGCATGCCTGACAAAAATGCATCTAGTTAGTCCTGAGGAATTTTTTCCAAGGACTAAGGACTGAAGAATTGATAGCCTTATTTTTCCATTTGAATTTGTCTACCTAGTGAAGATACTACACCATATGATGTGGTCACCTCTTAAACTCCTTTTTCAAAGGCTAAATAGATTGTCTGCTAACATGAAGCTCTAAAGCATCCACACCATCCCTTGAATCATGACTGTGGCTTTTTTTTTTTTTCTTTTTGCACAATTTTCCAACATCCTGAGAATGAGAGCACCTGATATGAAGCAGTGTTCTGGTTTTGACTTTGGCAACATATGAAAATAAAAGTCCTATTTCTGCTCAGTCCTTTTTCCAGACATCTTTGGGACATTATCCCTTTTGGAGAGCCTCATAGTAGAAGCCAACATCTCATGAAAAAAAGACAAATACCACCCATTTATAACCCACTACTTGCATCAACATGGGGCGCGAGGGGGGGAAATTCCACTTGCAATTTCTGGGACCACTTAGGTGATAAAGAGAAGAGAAGCTGGTTAGCCATTTGGCAAATTCCATTTGGGACAAGAAAAGAGAGCTGCACTGTAACATACCCTGTTTTCCTCTCTATTCTTTGGGTTGTATGGCAAAGTGTGAAGGTATGATTAGCTGCTAAGATCCTCGTAATTCCATCACTTTTGTGGGGTACTGAAAGACAGGAATTCCCGACCACAATATGAAATTTACTTACTAAACTTGGGAAGTCATTGACTTGCCTCTTGCCCCAGTTTCCCATTTGTAACAATTGAATTATAATCCGGCCCAACCCACGGGGCTATCCCGGTTATCACAATAAACCACACACCTGTTTTTGATGCATGTAAGCCATGGATATATGCATAATTCATGGAGGACTTCACTTCTTTTCCCCAGCAATTCCCACACATCCTATTTCCCCTCAAGCCTTCTCTTTGTGTCTTACTAGAGGGTGAGGATTATCTGTGAATTTATTTCCAAGGAAATTTTAAAGGGATTAAGATCATGTTAGCTGTGAGTTGTACATACGGAAATACAGAATGAATATACAGACAGCACTCTGACATACGTGAAGTGTGGTAGAAACATATATAATAAAATGGACAGATGCGGTTCCACTTTAAACAAACCTTTCATGCATACATTCAGAATAAAAGGGATACTTCAAAAACATTTGTGTGATTGGATTATTTGAGGATTGACAGTTCTATTTTACGAAAATGCCATGAGAAAGATCAGGTTAATAGTAAATCTCAGCATCATGAATGATACTTTGGTATATTTTAGGAGTGTCTGAAATTCTCCCTTGTTCACAGCTCAGTTTTTGATCTACCAAAAAACCCCAACCTACAACAAAAACCAGATACATACACAAATTAGCGTGGCCTTACTACAGAACAGGAACACTCTGCAGTCATTATCCTACATTAGTGACATTTTTCAGCAACCCATGGGGTACTCTGTTTTCTGTTGCCTGAAAACAGTTGCATTCCTTCCCCTAGGAACTTTCTACTGTTAGTCTCAGGCAATTTCTGCTGTTTTGAACAAAATGGCTTATTATGGATCTGCATATATCAAGGCTGGAAAGTCAATCCCATTTAATAAACAAATAGAAATACAGAACTAATTACTGGTTCAAAATTGCACTTTTGCCCACTGTTCTTTATGCTCCAGCTTCTTATACAGGATCCCCATGAATAGGCCAGGATCACCATCGTGCTTTGCACACCATTAACCACATCCTTACAGAAGGGGCAGGATACAATCTGGACATGTAACGAATGGAGATTGGGTTGGTCTTTGCAGCAGCCATTAAAATTGGGCCAGATAAATGATAAAAATTAGTAGGAGACTTGCTATTGCCCTCATCTGGGCATATGAAGAGAACACAAATTACATAGCATCATTCTTGATTGATCTATGTTCATATGCCTTAAAAAACAAATTATCAGTCCTAATCATCACAATGATTAGTTTGCTTTCATAAATTTATTGACCAAGGAACGTATTCCCAAAGACTAGCTCTAAACACTGACATCCTTCTCTATAGAGGGAAGGAGGAAAACAAGCACTACCACAGGGTGATTCAGGAATCCTAAATTATGGTCCTCATCTGCTTGCTCTCTGGATATGCTAGTATCTTTTTCCTTACTAGAAAGGGCAACAAGCCTCAGGTATTTTAAGTTAGCCTTTGGATTGCCTTGCCCTTCCTGTCATTAAATGATTTCCCTGTTTTTTTCTATGACTTCCCTATTGATATAACCTAAACCAATTCATAGGTTATCATCTGAAAAAAATATTCCAGTACCCGCTTACGTTCAATACCTGCTTAAATTTGATCACTGTCTCCTCTATACCCCCAAGATGGAAGGACTGGATTGAAACCAGTTGAAAACAATGAAAATATGTTCGTTACATTCAAGGGGCACTGGATCAGACCCTCTCTAAAGCCCTGTTCTTGCAAACACAGTCTTTCAGAGCACACAGATCCCAACTACGTTAACTTTACTGCTAGTTTTGGCTCTGATAGGCTGAAGCATCCAGTCCTGTGTAGCCATAATATTCTTGAATCAGTGCCATGAATACAGCTGGACTACCCAGACCCACAAGAGGAGATCTTTGCACAAGTTTTGCTTAAAAGCTGGAAGGCTAGCACATATCTCAGTGCTGATAAGACTATTACACAAACAAGCTCAAGAGAGCTAAGAATTGTACTATATATTTTAAAGTCTGGGTTTGCTTTTAATTTCAGTATATATTCCTTAAGCAACACTTCATCTGAAATTATTTTTTTAGTTAGTAATTTTCAAAAAATTGAAGCTGACAATGCACATTTAATAAGCGTAGAAATGGCTTCTGGTTTCCTAAGTATCAAAATATGCTAATTATAAGTACAACTATTCATTATTTTCCTACTTTCTATTTTTACACACATACGAATACCTCCTAATCGTTAAAATTGAAAAACAAACAAATGTACCCATTATATTTTTTATGAATCCAGCCCATTGTTCGAGGAAAAGAAATCATTCTTTACACATAGATTTGCTCTGAAATTGCTGCCAAAGAAAATAACCTTGAGTTATTTGCTGCATAACTGCCACATGAGTACATTAAAGGTGCCTAGGGACAGCTTCGTCTTGAGCACGTGACTTTTAAGAAAAAGCTTTTAAGTTCAATGTTTAAAAATTTCTGCCATATCCCTTTTCTTTCTCTGATTTTTAAATTAAATCCAATTATCGCATATAGGAAGAAGTCAGATGGCTTTTGTTCCTATGTTTTCAATCATTTATCTAACAATGAAGGTTTGTATTGCCTGGCTGCAACGAATTCAGGATATCACTGGGACGTTAAGGAAATAGGTGTGTATATATATTACATAGGTGGTTTTTCCCACAAAACTGGAGAAATGTAGCCCTGGTATGAAACCTGAATAACTTTCCTGACCATTAGGACTAGATGATCAAGGCTGCCCAACTGTGAAAGCCTAAAAGCTGAAGACCTCGGATCCGGTCTTAAGGAGAGTTATATTTTTCACATAATCCAGTAAATCTTTAGAGGGGAAGTCCATCCAAAAAGGGTTTACTTCTTCCTAGCAGTGACTGGGTTTCAGAACTGTTAGATTACTGGGTTTATTTCAGAAAATTTTTAATACCCTTTTGGTGAGGTAATACAATTGCTCTGTCTCTCTGGAGTTGGGCTGGCCTATCTGAAGGCAGTGCTATGAGTGCAAACAGAGCTCTCTGGCAGAGCTTGTGGATCCAAAACACATCTCTGAAAATGAATATTTTCCCCTGACTATACAGTAAGTGTCCCCAGCTCAAAAGATATGTATGGGCAGTGCCTTATGTCAGGATCTTGACAGAAAAAACCCTCCTAATAATTACGGGACTGGTCCAAAGTCCATTAAAGTTAATTGAGAGACTCGACACTGTGTCCCAGAACAACCATAACAGGATTATGGGATAAAATATTTGTTAATCAATCCAAGGCAAATATTCAGCAGGCTTTGGCTTGAATCAGAAACAGCTGCAGAGTCCAAAAGCAGAAATCAATTCAGGAGACCACACTGTGAAGGGACAGCAGGAAGAAAAGTGGTGGCAGAACTTGGTCCAAAGAACAATACTGTTTTCTTTTTTTTTTCCAAGATCAATGCAGAAAGAAGCATTTTAAGTGGATTAGATTATACTGTAATTCAAAACTAGAAACCTAAAGGACAGCAGGGGTCCAGGCCGTATCACATGAGATGCATTTTCTCTAAAATGTATCTCACAGCTACAGGTCCATGCTATGAAAGCTATATTGTCCAGAGTAATATGATAGACAAAGATATCAAAGAAATATGGCATAGCAGCTAGTTGAGAATCCAATATCCTAGAACATCTCTGGACCCACAGCTTTTAAGCAGAGGCTCTTTAGATGTACAGAAACCTCACTGTGAACCTCAAAAATAGAAGAAAATTTCTTTCTGATGAACCTGACTTTTTAGGCTGCTGGGTTTGGAATACGACACTCCAAGCTTTTGCCTGAGGAGGGGAGCTGAGTGGGAAGAAAGGGGGATAGATCATAGAATCATAGAATGGTTTGGGTTGGAAGGGACCTTAAAGATCATGTAGTTCCAAACCCTCTGCCATGGGCAGGGTGTCGTGGTTTAACCTCAGTCAGCAACTGACCCCCACACAGCCGCTCGCTCACTCCCCCCGCCCAGTGGGATGGGGGAGAGAATCGGAAGGGCAAAAGTGAGAAAACTCGTGGGTTGAGATAAAGACAGTTTAATAGGGAAAGCAAAAGCCGCGCACACAAGCAAAGCAAAACAAGGAATTCATTCACTACTTCCCATCGGCAGGCAGGTGTTCAGCCACCCCCAGGAAAGCAGGGCTCCATCACGCGTAACGGTGACTTGGGAAGACAAACACCATCACTCCAAACGTCCCCCCCTTCCTTCTTCTTCCCCCAGCTTTATATGCTGAGCATGACGTCACATGGTATGGAATGTCCCTTTGGCCAGTTTGGGTCAGCTGTCCTGGCTGTGCCCCCTCCCAGCTTCTTGTGCACCTCCAGCCTTCTCAGTCGGTAGAGCATGGGAAGCTGAAAAGTCCTTGGCTAGTGTAAGCACTGCTCAGCAACAACTAAAACATCGGTGTGTCATCAACATTGTTCTCACCCTAAATCCAAAACACAGCACTGCACCAGCTACTAGGAAGGAAATTAACTCTATCCCTGCCGAAACCAGGACACAGGGATACCTTCCACTAGAACAGGTTGCTCAAAGCCTCATCCAACCTGGCTTAAACAGTCTAAAAAGACAGCGTTTACTTTGCCTGCCTGCTTATCTGCCCTGACGTGCTAAAAAAACACCTACGAAGCCCAAGGATTTTTGTTAGACTGAGGGTATAGATTTTTGTCAAGGAACTTCCTGGATGGTGATTTTGAGAATCTAAATATTCCATGGGAGGCCCAGAAATCTGCCACATTTTGTTTAGATTTTTTGCTGTTCGCTTTGAATTTTTCCTGTTTCTCAGCCATCATGGCCACTGTCAGCAGTGCAGATTTTTGGAGTGGTCAAGTGAATAAACAAGGTTCCCAACATGCAAAAAAGAAAGTATTGTGCTTGCCCAATTTATGAGGAATTCAGGGCGAGATACAGATCTACTTGAAAGATAGCGGAGGACATTTAGATTCAAATTCCTTGGGCTGTCCATGCCTCCCCAACCAACTATGATACAGACAAAATAAACCTAGTCAATATGACCTAAGTTGCTCACATGGAAAATGTTCTTTTAGTGCATGATGATTTCAGGAGGTATAGCTTTTGCACATTAATAAATGTGCAGACAGAGGAGCAGAGTATACTCATCTGTTTTATGTTATCCTGGAGGTTCAACTGGATCAGTGCAAAATTAGCAGCACAGAAGTGAATTTGATCCATGATTTTAACCACACTTTCAAAAGAAAAGCATTTTATTCCTTTGACTAGGGAATTAATATCCTTCCTTAAATATATTATTAAAATTAATTATCTTGCACTTGTACTTTCAGAAGCAAACACACTTTCAGTTGCTTTAAGGTTCATCCATAATAAGAAATTCAGGTATAGTTTGGGTATATTTAAACATTCTCAATTTTACTAGGCTTCTTCAAAAGAATATCTCAGTTGTTTCTGTGATATTCCATCAGTAAGCAAATAAATGTTACATTTTATCTCTGTATTATTTCTGATATTCTTTCATACAGAGGTGACTCAGTACCTTTATTTTTATTTGTTAAGCTTCAGAAGGTTTTCCTGATAAAACTTCATTTTAGAGCTTTAAACCCCCAAAATAAAAAATTGTGTTCTTTTTTATTATTTAGCACTTAGGAGATGTAATAACATTTTTATAGATTTATTACCTTTCAGATTGCAATGCCAAACACAAGGTTTATTGTCAAATAAAGCATCATTTTGGTTTTTTGATTGCTTGCTTTAGAAGAGTATTGCGTCTGTTCTATAATTGCCTGTACCAAATTATTTAATTGGTTTTGTTGATATCTAATTCTGGAAAGTATCCCAACCAGAAAAAATACACAAAGTGAAATGGTGTAGCCAGGCAATATGAACTGACAAAAATTATTTTGGAAGTTGCTCAAAATGAAAAAAATATCCAAATAAAAAAACACAACAAAAATCCTAAAGCAATAAAGTACCATCCTAATTTGCTTCATTTTCTTTTAGGTGCCTATCCAGCAAATAGTATCTCCAGCCGTATTTCCTGATGGATTTCATAGACTCCGTAATCCACAGAAAGTCATTCAAAACCAGAAGACACTAAACATTCTTTGGAAGCAGAGTATGTAACATGAGATTCATGTTGGTTTAAGGCAGTTTGTAGCTGATCTCCCTGCATGTCATTGGCATCAGCTCACAGGCATTGTCGTCACTTGATCTCTTTCAACATTTCCATCGTAGTGCCTTATAAGCACAATTTCACAGCAACCCATTGGCAAAGATACTAAGGAAATATTCCACACGCTCTTTGGATATTACTCTCCTACCCCATCACGCTCAGGCCATCCTTCTTCCTGCAACCCCTACTGCAGTCAAAGCTCCGGCTACTTCCCATCCCCACGCCCCTGCTCTGAGAGAGCAGGCTCTGCTACAGCTTCTGTCACTACAGACTAGTAGGGGCACTGGATCCATCATATCTGAAGCACATATGGACTCCCAGTATTAATACTTAGCCATTGCTCTGCCATTGAAGAGCAGAGCAATCTAGTTTCCAAATGCTATACAAACATTAATCAAGGTTCACATCGTACCTCTGGGGTAAGCAAGTATTACTCCCTTACGCAGCTGTGCAAACTTGAGCACTAAAAGGTTAAGTGTTTCTTCTGAGGCTCCTGGTGAACCAGCTGCCGGGCCTAGATGACTGGGTCACTGAATCAAGCCTCTCCCTGCTTTCTGGCTTCACCCTACTCGGAGGCGGTCTCTGAGTTTCCATCTCACCATATCACTTCAGCATGAAAACCTTGCTAAGGGGAGAGTAAGCAGATCACAGTACCCATGATACAACATTTCACCGCCTCAAGTTGCACAGGATGTGAAGGTGTGCCATGGTACCATTTTATTTCAAATAACAGCATTCTTCTACCCTATGGGCAAAAAACCAGTCGTATTCAAACTACCTGCAGGAATTCAGCAGAAGCACAAAACAGCTGATCAGAGCTGTTGCCTTTTTCAAAGGCAAGATTTCACTAGTCACCTGGTTATCAGGATCTTTTTTCCAGCGAGAGGCAATGGCTCTCGGCTTTTTCCACTCACTGATCTCAGCAGGAGTGGAAAGACACTCTGTCATTCAGAAGCCAACAATTTCAAGTCAGCTGTGAAAGGGAGGGGTTCCTGGCTCCTGTAGGCATGTCCTACACACACACTTTGTCCTCTTGATACATTGGTTCTGCTGAATAATATTTCAAAAAGGTCTTATGTATATCCTATGTCAGCCAAAGAAACGGAAGGGGTAGAAGCAACAGGCTGTCCTGACACCTCTTGTAAGCAGAATAAGGAAATCCTTTCCTCTCTTCACTACTAATTCCTCTGGAAGAGCCTCTGGGGTTCTCACTATCTCTTCTGTTCAGCATTCAGAGTGGAGTAGGCACCAGCATCTCCATACAGACTCCTCAACCTCGTCCCTGGATCTGAGGCCAAGAACGTGCACCCCCAATGTCACTCTGTAAGACTGCAGGCAAGGGCAGTCCCACATTGCCTCTCTGGTATCTTAACTATCTAGTTAACTATCTATATCTTACTTATCTAGTAACTTAACCATCCTGAAAATCAAACTGATTGGGATGAATTCTGATGCAGGACTAATACCTTTGGAATGAATTACCAGCGTATTTATCCTTGCATACTATTGCATCCATTTAGTCAGAGAAAGGCTGAAGGCTGCAACTTGCTTACAGAAAATAAACTGGCAAATTAGCCTGCTGCAAGCAGCCCCCAGCCACTGTCATTCAGAAGATCACAAAGGCCCCATCATTTATTGTTATTATTACTCTCACAGAAAAATCATGGCTGTTTATTTACTTACTTTTCAAATTCTGAGTCCTTCATCCTAAAACAGGTGATCTCAAGTGTTTGCTTTAGTGTGTGCCTCTGTATCCATCCTGCACGGCTGTAGTCAAAAAGTCTGCAGCACCTGATAATGTTTTTCACATTCTTTGCCGTCTACAAATTACAGATGATTTCAATGAACAAGAAATCAATACAGACACAACTGACACAAATGCAAGCACTGGAAAGCTTTGCTAACATATAATACAAAACTCCATTTTATACCTATTTTGATAATACAGGACAACCTTCCCCGGCACAGTAGGAAATGTTACAATAACACTCCATGAGAAATGAATATTTTGCATTTACTCAATGTCTAAAGCAATTTCCTCTTCAAATGGCACTAGTAAACTTCAAAACTCTTTTAGGCAAAGCAATGCATTTCAGATACAATTCATACATTTTAAACTGTAGGCAGAGGATGAACTTCCTTCAATGATTGAAACCTAGAGATTTGCTGGAAACCAAATATCAAAGATCAAGGCAGGTATACATTTCATAAGTATCAGTGAACTTCAGAATATCAGTGAATTATTTGTTCTACATACACCAAAGCATTCTTGTTTCCCTTCACTTCAAAAATTGCCAAAATCCAGAAGATTTAGAGGTTGAAAGAAAAAGCATACATGGGACAAACTGATGAATATATTAGCATTCTAGCAATTGCAACTCTCTTCTCCAAGTCTGTTAAAAATCTCAGCAACCTGGACCTTAAAGTAAGCTCACAAACTGAAAACTGACAACAAAAGTAGCGTTGAAGGCTTCCGTGCTTGCTCTGTTCTGTGTTGAATTTGCTCAGCTTACTAGAATAAAGCCTTGTTTAAAAATACCACTCTTTTTAACTGCTGTTTCTGCCAATGCAACCCGGGGATTGAAAGTCGGGCTGTGTTCTTTCTGGCTCACCTAATAGCAGCAATAATAAAGATTCTGTCAGTGCTCCTTACTCACTCATTCGAATGCGGCTGCCTGAGACAGAATTAAATCCAGCTCAGTTGCGTATGCTCTGCAGTGCTACCAGGAGTAAGGAGGAGGAAAGTCCTTGGAGGAAATCCTGATCACAGTGAAGTTGGTACTTCAGTGCAGCCAAGATTTCATATTTTGTTTGTTTTAACCAAAAGAGTGAAGATTCCAAGCCCTGTACTCTCACTACAGAGCATTATGCAGAGCAAATAGGCCTATTTGTGGCTATAACCACCCACTGATGTAAGCAAAGGTTGCCCCAAGTAAGTAGCTATGAATCAGGCAGATTTGACTACTCCTTGGCAACTCTGCCTGGCGAAAAAGGGTGGAAGAGGATAAAGCTTTTTATCTGGCTAAAGACATGAAGAAGGAAAAACAGTTTTTATTCATTAAAAAAAGTCTTTTCCTGTAGTGATACATATAAAACAACAAAGGAAATTCAAAGAAAGGATTAGACTTTGCCAGAGTAGGCTAGGATTTCTCTTTCTTGACACAATTGGCAAATATTTCCACCAAAACTCCAAGCTTTTCATGGAGAAAGAAATGCAGCAATCTTGATTAATTTCTCCCTGTAATCAGATTTAAGTGAAATGTATTATTTAATGAGTGAGGTGAAGGTTTGGATACTGTGGTGCCTGGCACCGGTGGTACCTTTTTCTGCCAGTTTGATATGACCATTTGTCCTTACAGGTTAGATAAGCTACGTACCAACCAGTTTATGCTATCAGAATCTTTCAGCAGAGACACTAGAAGCAACGTTCCTGTTTCTTCTCCGGAGTATTAGTGATATCACAGCACTTTTAGCAACCACAGGGCCTTGCCATAGTGTCTTTGGCACAACGCGCTCTGTTGTCACTGACACATGCCAGCTGGCTGCTTCTCCCCACCCCAGCAGTGACTGCATTTCGGCAGCATTTATACATGTGAAGCACTTGGGGATCCCTTGGGAAGAAGGGGGACAATGAATATTTTAAATATTTTCTTATACTTTAAGAGCACAAAGGATACCCATTGTAAAACACATCCTCTACAGGCTTCGCAACAGGAGGAACTTCCAGACACTCCCTTATGCAGACCGCAGCTTACTGCGAGACAATTTCCTGCCACAAATCACTGAAGTTCATTTTGCTACCCACACAGGTATTGCCAATCACTGTATACCAAGGTATTTTCCTCAGCAACTGTCTCCTGTGGATCTGGGCTCGTAAGGTGCCACCTGCGTCATGCGTTGCTTCCCTCTCCCAGCCTTTATGGAACTTGCTTGGTGGCTCAGGGTGTTCGGCAAGGGTGGGAGGGAGATCTGGAAAGGGGCTTTCATGCATTCCCACTACCCCAAACTCCTGAATTCTGCCTACGATAACATATACCACCTTCCTGCTGTTGAATGAGCCTGAGAGAGGTTTTAGGGAATCCCTGAGACAAACAGGCCCCTAGCATTATAGCTAGGAGAAGAATTGTGCTTTGCAGAGAAGGCAGCAGGCTGGATGGGGAGGCAGAGAAGTTCTGCACAGATGCGCTGCGACGGCTTGCCTATCTAGGGGGATGTGCATGGAGGAGACTGGGACAGACCCAGTGTTTCTTCTGCAGGAAACAAAAGCTGCTTGCCCTTGACGCAAGGACCAGAAGCAAAATCTGTGTTCAAACTTGTGGTTGCTGCCCCTCATTAGAGCTGTACAGTCACCCTAATAAACAACATATGGGAAATCTGGGGTAATTATTTGCCAAGAAAGCAAAAATAGCAAAATTTTAATGGCAGCATTAAGAAATATGCTATAAGGAATAAGTTGGGGACAGAGTGGTAAAACATGCTGCTTTCTTCCATTTTTGTGCAAATGTGTCAAAAATGCATAAATTAGTAAAGAAAAACCCATACTATAACACCTGGCACTCTCTCTGGCAAAAGGACTAGAGCTCAGATGTGCTTTCAAGGCAAACCCTGCAACACAGGACAGCTTGGAAGCTTACCACCCCGCCAACCGTCCCTGAAGGGACCATGCATCAGATCCACGGTCTCCAAAACACCCTTCTCGAGAGTGGAGGAGGTGCACGTGAGGCAAGCTGGCCAGGGCAGGAAAAGGAAGACCCTCAGTCACTCTGCTTCCAGTCTGTCTCAGGACGGTCTGACAGCAGTCTGCAGCAGTCTCCCTGTCTGACTGTCCCCTTCCCTTCGGCCAGCACACCCATGTAGAGATGTACACTTAGATTTCCCGCCCTTCGTGGCACCCTGCTGTAACAGGCACCGGGGGAAGAAAGGGGATGATGGGGAAGCTTTTAGAGTTATGGTTATGTACCTTGTCACCAAACGGAAGATTTCAATCTGCAAAGATCTATCAATCTAGCATATTACACACAGAGAGATACACACATCAGATTTTGTTTGTTTTGTTAAAAAATAGAGAAAGAAAATAAATGCCTGAAAAATATTCTTCTCTTGCTATAAACACATCAGTGCTCATTTTCCCTATATTCTACTTTGGGCCATTTTGTGTAAAATCTTTAATTAAAGTTTTTCTTTGAAATTGTCCTCATCAAACCAGAAGAAAGAAAGTAAAAAACGGAAGGACACAGCTGTGCATATATGAAATGCTATTCAGTACCAAATGAATTGGAACAAAATAAGTATCGTGACTGTTATGCTCTTAGTTTTGGCTCTGTATTCTCAGTAGCACAGTCTAACTTGTCACTTTATATTGATTCCATCTGTTTACACTCTGCAGAGTATTGGCTTCCTACAGTGAACATTTCCTATTTACCAGCTGGTAAAGATAGGCCCAAACCAGATAGAAAAGAATTAGACTATTTTCAGATCCTCATAAACATAAAATCAAAAATTAATGGAGGAGAGGAGATAAGAGTAGGGGGGAGTGAGGAAAATATATGGGTCTGATGCTTGTTCATATTGATAGCCCTTTACAACCCATTAGCAATTTTTAGAGACCTCGAAGTTTGTGCAATGAGTACACAAAATAAAACAATTTTCAGTCCTCTTTACATTGTGCTTTACATGAATAGCCTTACAGTAAATGCAAATCAATCCCAGTACTTCAGTAATCTTTAAAGAGAAACAGTTGGAGTCTGAACTTAGCTAATATAATATTCCCACTCCCATCAGCCAACTATGAGTGAAAGACCTCCATATAAAACGGATGCGCACATGCAGTACAGAGCCATCTTTGCACTTTGACAAATTGAGTTTTAGTTATTTCTTTTTCATACTTACTGCATTCCTCTCTTAAGGAGGCTATTATTTGGAGGGGCTGACTCACCTCAGGAGAGTCCTTTTACTGTCATTAAAAAAATGTTTCAGGTTGCCAGCTCTTCTTGAACAAAGTTTTATTTTTTAACATTCAGGAACACTGTGTCACTGAAGTTGGGGCTCCTTTCTGTGGTGCCATGTCCTTTTGCAAGTATTACTGGGGCACAAATTCTGTCCCTATTTTTGGAGTCCTAGCAGCCAGGTTAGTGAAATTGCACTCTACAAAGAAAAAGAAGGCAGATTTGGGTGCTTAGAAGACGAGCTGCCCTTTATTGAACAGGTCTCTGTTGCGCCAGGGCAGTAGCATGCAGCCAGGGCATCAGCCAGCCAGGAACATGGAAAAGAAGGGTCTGGACTTCTGGTATGGTATGAAAGTTCTGGTTCTTGTTACCCACAGCACAGAAAGAAGCGCATAACTATCCAAACTACATTGCTGCCTTGCTTCCTTGAACACTCACTGGGTCAGTAGTAGAGTTCTTTCATGCACCATCATTTATATTCCCAGGCACACATCTGTTCAGCGTTTGGCCCTCCTTCCCGGGCCAAGATCTTTGCTTAGGAGGCAGCACTGGGGATCCTACACATTGTGGCCATTTTCCTACAGTTTGCTGTTATTTTTCTTTCTTGATCAGGTTTTTTTTTTTTTTCCTCTTTTTTTTTTTAACTTGCTTTTCCCAAGACAGTGACCTTCAGGAGTAACATTTTATTACATTTGACTAGAAATGATGGAAGGACTCCTGTAGTCAAAACAGGTTTTTTTTTTTTTTTCCTCTCTTTTCTTTAAACTTGCTTTTCCCAAGACAGTGACCTTCAGGAGTAACATTTTATTACATTTGACTAGAAATGATGGAAGGACTCCTGTAGTCAAAACTAAACCCAGAGTTTTGCCCTGGCGTTTGAAGTACGCAAAATCTTTTCCTAGCTTATCTATGCTTTAGTGAGCAAGTAAGAATGACTACAAAGGCAGTAAGACTTACTTCCAACAAATACAACAAATAACTTTGGTGTCATAAAGCAAGCAAGGTCAGCCCTGGATCATTTGATTAAGTGAACTGTCAGCATGGATGGAGTTTCCAAGTGCTGGACAGTGATGAGAAATCCAAGGCCGCCTGGCCCTATGTCTTTTCACTGACTAGAAGATGCTCTGAACTACCTGCTGCTTTCCTTGATCTTGGCCAGTACGCTAGCTATGATGTCTAAATACAGGTACATGTGGTAGGTGGTCGAAATGTGGCTTTCTGCCTATACAAGGAGAAAATTACTATTCCTTATTTTACTGAGGACATTAGGAACTTTTTCTTCTGTGTGTTTTTTTTAACATGCACATACAAATTCAAAACCCAGAGTTACTGATATAAATGTATCCTTGACTGATGATGTGCATCCAAACAGAAGCACAGTAAGTTTGGTCTTGGGAATAACCACTGTGATATGTTACAGATAAATATTTAAAAGAGTATATGAACTCTTAAGTGTATCTGAATAATTATCTGTGTACCTCATGCATTTACATATCTTGCAGTACTTATTTAACTGAATTGTTCCTGGGATATATATGTAGCAGTAACCTTGCCTTAAGTTAATGATGTTTTCTGTTAATGTACTAAAATATACATAACAGCTCTATTTTACAATGCTGTTAAAAAAACTAACATAGAACATTGTAAATTAAGTATACAAGTATACCAGACCTCTAATTAGGACTTTGGAGGGTATTTTCAATTCATAAGTTCTATAATAAGAAGATATTTCAGCAGTTTCTTTTGTGATAGGAAACGCTTAACATGAAAACGTAAACGTTACTCTTCAGTTAGCTGCATATAGCCAAATGAGTAAAAGCTATAACATTAATAACAACTATACCAAGTTATGATTGATAGGCTTTTCTACAGCAAGAAAAGATTGTCTTGGATACAATCTGTCCTAACAGCCTTGCGATATGTTAATATTTTATTCAGACTAGAGTGAGGATATATTCAGATATCCTACTCAGCGGAAGAGAAGTAAATGGGTTGCAAATACTACTGCAGCCCTGAGGTGCAATAACAGCTGTGAAATCAGAAAGATTTTATTTCCCCCTTCCAAATTACAGGCCAAGCCCATGCCAAGCACAGCAGGAGGTTGGATTTTCCTTGGAATTTACATCAGGTTATGTTTAATGTATTTCTTCTTCTATGAACAGTCTTAGGGCAGAGCCAACAGCCTGTCACACAGTGCTCTAGAAGGCATGGAATACTCTTCCGTGTCCTTGTAAATAATAACTATTATTAGGCGTGATATGTGACATTAGGTTAACTTTCAAATGCCCAAATATAATAAAATATCATGATGTTGATAAACAGATTTTCATGGCTCAATTTGTGCAAAAATAAAGTAATAAAAATCTAGCTTTCCCATAGTCACACCACCACTTCCTCCTCAATTTAAAAAAGTGGTTTTGTGCTGTTCAACTTTGTGTTGAGATTTAAGTAGACTGAGCTTTCAGGTGGCTGGATACTTCTAAGGAAAAAGAGTACAAAATGCCTAAAATGCCATTCTTCTGATGTGACAGAATGTTTTACACCAATCTTGCAAAAGGCTAAACAATTACAGAAATTGTACTGCCATGGAGAATCTAGTTTCTTAAATAAGTCAACTGTTGTTACTCAAGCCACAAGCATCTAGTAACTAGGAAATAAAATCACAGTGGGACTGCGCCAGTCCTACACCAGAGATTTGTTGCAAGACTGCTTGAAAGAGAAAAGTGCTTAGGTTTTTGATGCTAAAAAGGGATTCACAGTGTGGATGAGAGGCTTTTAAAATACTACTTAGTACTTTAGCATAATAAAAAACCCCCAAGACCACCACCGACAAAACCCTAAGCATACAAGTATGACCAGATCTTCATGATACAACAACAAGCAACATCCTTTTAAACATGTTACTAAATTGATATCAGTACATCAAGAGTAACATCTACTTATCTGAAATGAATTACTACCCCAGCAAGTGGTTTCTGTTATTACCCTGGTCAACATACTTTCTCCTCGAGCAGGGATTCCAGCTGACTTAATGTCATTGTTTGGCAACTGTGGCTGTTCAACCTGAAAATAAATATAATAAAAAATATTAGATGAACATAAACCACAAGTACCATTGAAGACCACTGTAGGGACATCAATGGGAGAGTTTTGTTTTAGCACGTGAACAACTACAAATGCAAGAAAGTGGCTTGATCCTGCCTTTGTTGTGGCTGGTTTTCACAGCTCTGCACTGCTCTTGGAGAAAATCACCACAAATCTGGATCCCTGAGCAGAACAGGGATGTGGCAGCTGCTCCTCTACCACAAGCGTGATGACTGTTAGTGTAAAATATTTTTTCTTGAAGGATTTTTTTTTTTTGGCTGCCTTAAGGGACACAAAGGGCTATTAGCAGCTTGATCTGGCCCTTTGGCTGTTCTTCACAGCTCTGCACTGCTCTTGGAGAAAATCACCACAAATCTGGATCCCTGAGCAGAACAGGGATGTGGCAGCTGCTCCTCTACCACAAGCGTGATGACTGTTAGTGTAAAATATTTTTTCTTGAAGGATTTTTTTTTTTTGGCTGCCTTAAGGGACACAAAGGGCTATTAGCAGCTTGATCTGGCCCTTGGGATGACTCGGGAGTCCCAGGGTCAAGAAAGTTATAGTGCCAGTTCTCCCCTCTCCTCTGCTCCCATCAAGTGTTCTTCAGAGAACAGCATGTCTCCTCCTCCCCTTCTCCCCCGGCACAAATCTGAGATCCATTTGTCACCAGTAACTTTTAACATTATTTTAAAAACTAAAAATACATCACCTTGCTTTTGCTTTTGTTTCCTCATCCCATTGACTTGCATCAAGCACCAGAGCAGGTCATTTTCAGAGTCAACGACCAGCCAAGTTTACTTTCACTACTGGGTTCTGCAGGTGCCAACTTCCACTCTCTGCACATCCTTCTCTGGCTTCAGCCTTAACTAACTGCTTCTGAAAAGCCTCGTGCAATTTTACGCCTATCTGTATTTGCGGGGTGAAGTCCTAGAAGGCAAGCTCCGCCATCATTTCAGCCTCTGAATTTAGTGGAACCGCTTGAGTTTGAAACGGGGAGGCGG